AGGGTGCAGCGAGGGTCAGGGTGCAGTGAGGGGTCAGGGTGCAGTGAGGGTCAGGGTGCAGCGAGGGTCAGGGTGCAGCGAGGGTGCAGCGAGGGTCAGGATGGAGAGAGGGTCATGGTGCAGCGAGGGGTCAGGGTGCAGTGAGGGTCAGGGTGCAGTGAGGGTCAGGATGGAGAGAGGGTCATGGTGCAGCGAGGGGTCAGGGTGCAGTGAGGGTCAGGGTGCAGTGAGGGTCAGGATGGAGCGAGGGGTCAGGGTGCAGTGAGGGTCAGGGTGCAGCGAGGGGTCAGGGTGCAGTGAGGGTCAGGGTGCAGTGAGGGGTCAGGGTGCAGTGAGGGGTCAGGGTGCAGTGAGGGGTCAGGGTGCAGTGAGGGTCACTGTGTCCATTCCCAGCACCCCCGGAAACAGCACTAGTGTTGGCCTACAGTTGCCCCCTGGCTACTGCGCTGGGACTCAGTTTCCCCAGCCCGCCCCCTGCCCACTGCGCTGGGACTCAGTTTCCCCAGCCCGCCCCCCGCCCACTCACGATGTTGGCCGTTTTGTTGCAGGTCTTCAGGAGCTGGATGGCGAAGGCCGACGTGACGTTCTCCACGGAGACTCCGTTCACCATGACGATGTGGTCCCCGGTCCTGCGGGGCGGCCCGGGAGGCTCTGAGCGGGTGTTTCCTTTTCCAGTCCCCCCCTCCCGTGCTTTCTGTGTCTCTGTCTGTGTCTCTGTGGTCTCTGTCTCTGTGGTCTCTGCGGTCTCCGCGTGTCTCTGTGTTTGGGGTCTCTGTCTCTGTGGTCTCTGCGTGTCTCTGTCTGTGTCTCCCCCTCCCTCCCCGGTTCCACCGGTTCCGGGAACACTCGTTCCGTCCCGGCCCTGCCCTGGGGCTCTGCCTGCCTCGGGGACCAGGAAGAGTCGGGCAGGGAGGCCAGGCCCTGCTGCCCGGAAGGTGCCCGCTGCCCCCCCCCCCCGCTGACCGGAAGGTGCCCGCTGCCCCCCCCCGCTGACCGGAAGGTGCCAGCTGCCCCCCCCCGCTGACCGGAAGGTGCCAGCTGCCCCCCCCCGCTGACCGGAAGGTGCCAGCTGCCCCCCCCCGGGTGGCCCGGGCCTCACTGGAGCCTGCCCTGGGCCGGGCCCCCGAGGACCACGTCCGACACCACCACGGATCCGCTGGGCCGGTCCTGGCCTCCAGAGACGGCGATGCCGAAGCCGCGGCGGGGGTCCTGAGGGGCGCAGGGGACAGGGGGTCACCGCGGGGCGCAGGGGGTCACCGCGGGGGACAGGGAGTCACCGCGGGGGACAGGGGGTCACCGCGGGGCGCAGGGGGTCACCGCGGGGGACAGGGGGTCACCGCGGGGGACAGGGGGTCACCGCGGGG